CCCCCTGTCCCGCCGCCCCCCCCGGTGCAAGGTCTGTGCCTGCCTCTCGCCGTCTCCTACTCGCGGGGTCAGCCTGACCGCAAGGAGGGGGAAACAAGCAGCCCCCAACCTCCCTGAGATGTAAATAAATAATATAAGCAGCCCTCTGTCCTTGGAGGCTGCTGACTCCGCTGCAAAACATCCCTTCAAGGCCCCGGAGCGGCCGGCCAGGCTCAGTGCAGCCCGCAGGCTCTGGCACGGGCCGTCGGCAGGTGCCCAGCAGATTCCCAGAGCTGTTTTCCAGCCAGCAGCCCCCCGGGCAGGACGGAGGACGCCGCATTTCCACGGGCCCGGGAAACAGGGGACGCACCATGACCTGAGACCGAACGCGGGGATGTGCTGTGCCCTGCCAAGCCAGGCTCCCCCCGTTCTGCCGTCTCCCCCACACTTGGGGGGGCCCAGGAACATGCAGCCGCTTACTTACCAAGCCCAACCCAAACTCAGATTCAGTGCTCACCCTTTCCTGTCGCAGACATGGGAATTGCGCTTCAGCCGTGCTCACGTACTAGATCACTGCGGCCTGAGTGCGAGTGTTGCTATGTCCCATCTGGGTCCCACCCCTGAATTCACCCTGGTGCGTGCATTTCTGTAGTGCACAGGAGGAGGCAGAATGGAGGTCCTGGAGGAGAAGGAGGAAGAGGAGCAAAGAGAAGAAGAGCTGAAGGCTTTGGAGATCAGTGCTAAACTCCAGGACTCGGAGACAAAGGCGTCCATGGAGCAAATCTGCATCCCAAGTGATGTACCGTAAGTCACGTATGTCTGTCAGCTACTGGGATGAGCAGAGATGGTCCCTTTGGGGTCCACGGGGAGATTGCACACGTGTGGATGGCACGTGTGGTCCCCTTGCACAAGGAGGGGAGTGAGCGAGTTTTCCGTGGCTGGTGAGTTTGTCCAAGAGTGGGCACGTGTGAGTAAGACGATAACTCACCTCATTGTACGTTCATTTGCTGCTGTATCATGACACTGTATAAAGATCCCCTGAGCTTCTGGGTATATGTCAGCTTGCCATCACTCCAGAGAAGCTTGGCTATGTCAAAATCATGTCCTTGGATATGATCCCCGTTTTTTCCCTGGGAAACAGGGAGCCCCTGCCATGTTTTGATAGCAGGTCATCTTGCCTGAATTGCTCCCGGCTTATTACCTGTGTCTCTCTGCCTCCCCCTGTCCTGGAAGTGATTTTGACTGGACCTCTATTGACACGTCCCAGTTACCGTCCTCGTACAAGACAAATTCCCTGAAGGAAAAGAAGCTACTGCAGATCGCTGACCACTTCCTCCAGCAGTACGCTCACCTCTGCCCTGACCGCAAGCTGCTCTTCCTCCACCCGGTCAACGAGTGTGGCGTGGAGGTATGGGGTGGTGTGGGGCTGGGCCGCAGCGCAAGGGACACTCGGCTTCCACAGTGCCAAATGCTGGGGAAGGGCAGCAGCCCTTCCTGCCCTCCCCCCTGGCCAAAGGGAATGGGAACCCGCTTGCTGTGCCCACAGCACCCCGAGCAGGCACGCAGCACCCTGAGCAGGCACGCAGCACCCCGGGAACACCCTGGCTGTCCAAATCCACAAGTGCGTTGTACCATGCACATGGTGGTGGTGCCATGTAGGCTGCAGGCAGCTCGCAGCCCTGCAGCGTGATGCTTAGGAAACAGGAAAGACCACAGAAACATAAAGGAAAGTAAAAGAAACACATGAAATAGATAAGGCTCGGGCTCAGTCACAGATCCACAGAGTCTGGATCCAGAGTTAGGTCTTATTCTGAACTTCGCAGAAGTTACAGGCAAGGAAGTAAATGTGGAAGTTTGTGGTCTGGTTTTGTTTGGGACTGGGTCCAAGCTGCACAACTGTTGTCTAGTTCTGGACCTGATGCTCCCCCAGGCATCTGGAATTGCTACTTTGGACCAGCTTTCCCCAACGCTTATTATATCATTAACATACAAGGCAAAAAATGCTGGAGGACGTAAAAGCTGGAAAGGGCAGTAGCTATTTGTCTTGCTTGAAAGCTAAGAGAAGAACTGGCTCGCATCTGTAGCGTGTCTGAGATGAGCTCGAAGTTTTAGCCACAGACAAGCAGGCGGCCTCTCAACCTCATGCAATTTCCATCTCGGAACAGGTGAGGGGGGTTACTGACGCTGTTGATATGCTCTAGGGAGGTCCTGAATGAGAGCTGCAACATCCAGGGGTGGTCTGAGGATGGCTTTGGACAGGAGACTCTGCCAGGCTTCTGTTGGCTAACCAAAGTCCTCTTGTTGCCCTACAGAAGTTTGTGAGCACAACGGTGAGGCCAACTCTGCTGCCTTATACGGAGCTGTACCACTGGGATGGCTGTGCCAGCTTCGTCTCTGATTACCTCACCGTGGAGCCCCTCAAGTCCCCTATCACACCGGTAAGAAAGGGGCTGCAGTCCCATCAGAAACAGCCCCGTAACGGAGGTGACAGAAGGGCTGCTCAGCAGGACGCAATGTGGAAACCCCAGTGGCTGGGATTACAAAGGTCTTTGACCCCTCCATCATCCCCTCATTACTTAGGCAACCCCCCGATTTTCCCAGGCCCTGTGCGCTCTGTTTGGATCTGTAATCCCAGTACAGGTACAGTGTTGTTCCTGTCAAGCAATTAAGCACCATTTCTACAAAATTGGGCCTGACCCTGCTCTCAGTCACCCCAGATGACCAGCTGGTCTGCTGTGGGTTGCAATGGCTGACAAGCTTCCCCTCCAAAGATGAAGACACCTCCTGCCCTTCTCTCCCTATGGTTAAATGTCACCAGATTTGGGGTCAGAATTTCCCCAGATCGCTTTGGAGGGGACTTTTGGGGTCTGTGGCTTATGTGGGAATTTTATATAACAGATTTCCTATGGGTGCAGAGCCCAGGGATGTGGGCAATGCCCTCTCTCTCTCCTGCTCTCTGCCTGGTGCGTGTTTCAGCTTCACAAGAGCACTGTGAACACGCATCTCTCTTTTTCAAGCCCAGTTCACTCTATTCCCCAACCACCATCCTGAAATACCAGCGAGGGAACTGCTTTGACTTCAGCATGCTGCTGTGCTCCATGCTGATCGGGGCCGGGTATGACGCCTACTGCGTGCACGGATATGCCACCCGCGAGATATGCACCCTGGACGAGACGCTGGAGCTGTGCCCACTGCTCTGAAAG